TTCATGCATTTTTTTTCTTCTTCTTTAATCGATGTTAGTCCTGACATCAATACTGCATTTAGGAAAGTTGCAATTTCTGTTATCACTCTTACTGCATAACAACAACAGCATGATAATAATAAATAAAAAATTGAAATATACAAAAAGACAAAGGAATCAAAGAACAAGACATTTGAAAAATACTCAGTTTTATTTCAGAACATTCATAAAGTTCATCCATTACAACTATTTGTTCAACGTAACACTTAATACAAACTTTACACTACCAAAGAACCAAGCATGAGTGTTCAGTAGGGTATATTCCACCCTCCTTTTCTTAATATACAGATGTAGCCCTTACCGATACAACAATTAAGGATCATATTTGCGAATTACGAATTTCTGATTAGAACAGTTATAGAAGCCAAGTGACACAGATTTGTTTTTTGTTTTGTTTTTTAGTAAGTAAAAAGTCTACTTGTACTTTATCTATGAACTTTTTTTTTATTGTTCATGTATAAGGGTAATGTTCGAATGTATTTTTGGGGCATTTTATTTTGGTATGGGCGTCTCTATTCCACGATACCTACATTTAAAAAAGAAAGAAAGAAAAAATAAAAAAAGAAATAAAAAAATATATATGAAATGGATTTATCTATGTAAGCCACAATATAAACCCAAACTCACCGATTTTAATAATTTCTTTATCTAATATCTACCTGGAAGAATCTTCATAGATCCCCACACGGATATTGATAAGAAAAGTCTTATTATCTGTGGATCACACAGAACTAACGCAAAAAAAAAAAAAAAAAAAAAAAAAAAAAAAAAATCCTGTTACTTTATCCTCATACATCTGGCATCTCATTCCCGAAGAAGTGAAAAAACAACGCATTTTTTCTTCGTCACTTAAAGACAACCATCATATAACAGCGGAAGATGACTACATTTTTTTTTATTTATTTTATCTCCTGACCATTCTACCTCGCTATCTAAATATTAAATTTGTTTCCCTAAAAAGCCTATTTTACGTCTGTAAACCTAACAGGACCTGCGTTTCTAGGAGGTGTTCTGAACCGCACCCAGCGCGGAATCCACCGTGAAAATTTCTAAACACCGAAAAAAAACAACGTTAAATGTATTTCATGGTTAATGAGTTTCTGACAACATTGACTGATTATGAAAGAGTTAGACATTCTTTTCCTGGTCTCGTCAATGTTTCTATAGTGTCTGTTTTTTCACATGAAGAACTTTTAGCACACTGTGAAATAAAGAACTATTACATTCAATGGTACAGATAAAATACAAAGCTTTAAAAAACATCATATTTCACAGTACATGATTGTCAAGATTATAATAATAATGATGATAACAATAATCATGGAGATAATATTAATGATAATAACGATAACAGAAATTATGATAATAATAATAATAATGATAATAATTCTAATATCAAAAATAATAATGTTGGTGATAATAATAAAAATAATAATAATAGCAATAATAATACAATCAGTGATAATCACAACAATAATAAAAGAATATAATACAAATAACAATAGTATTAATAACAATGAAAACAATAATAATAATAATAGTGATAATGATAATAATAATAATAATAATAAGAATAATGACAATGGCTGTACACACTTTTTCACAAAAGTTTTCCTCCAACCAGACGACGTTGAAGAATAAAATTTCACCAAAAAAAAAGACATCTTAGAATAGTTCTTCCTTTTTTTTCTTCTTTTTCGTTTAATTATTCACCTTTTGGCTCAAAGTCCTCTCTTAATATTAACACTTAAGTAACAGTAAACACGGGACGTCATAACATATATTAACTCTCAAGCACACTCAAAAATCAAATGAAAATAAAAGGAAAAGGAAAGAGTATCGTAAAGCGGCCAGGGTGAATGAGGGAAGTTAAGAAATCGAAAAATCGAAATATGGGCGTTATTTTTCCCGCCATTTCGTCTTTTATTGTGTGTTTTTGTCTTTACGAACTTTCTACGGCGTCACAATGTCGTGCTCCATTATTTTTTTTCTCTTTTATAAAAGGTATGAACGTCATTTATATTCAACATTCTCTTGTTCTATTAAGTCTCTCTCTCTCTCTCTCTCTCTCTCTCTCTCTCTCTCTCTCTCTCTCTCTCTCTCTCTCTCTCTCTCTCTCTCTCTCTCTCTTTCTCTTTTCTTAAAGCGTTTTGATAAACTATTAACAAACATCGATATTGCTGATAGCTCTAAAAAGTAAAACCAGAGTATGGATATTAGGCGTGTAAATGCTGTATTTGGCACCGTCAGTTCATTACAAGACAGTAAAAAATATAGAGTTCATATTCGTCATAATTATTTACACAGGAAGTACAAGATTATCTTAAGAACTAGGACTTTCCTTAACTTGAAGCGGGCCTCTGTTTATATACAGGTAAATTGAGCGTGAAGAGTCTCGTAGGGCAATATAATATCTCACGGATGGTTGCTAAGTTTTATCTATGCTAATGACCTAAAATAGATACGACTGTCAGGTTTATTGATCGAGTTAATTAAGCCAATTTACTGGTTGATTTTTTTTTTGTTGTTATAATTTTATTTATCTAGTACAGTTTTATTTATTTATTTATTCGTTTATCTAGTCATCTAAAGCGGGGATGTCGTGGTAGTAACTCGTTCTTGTGTTGATAGTAACAATCACTGATAAAACTGATAGTAGCAATCAACAATACTATTAACAGCAATGAAGAGCTCAGTAACACCAATGACAATTTTAATGGTAATTATAAATTCAATAGTGATATTAACAAAGTGATGATAATCATGGTAAAGGTAATATAATAATGATAATAATAATAATAATAATGGTAATAATAATAATAACTAGAAAAACACTCAGAGAGTGCAGACCTCCGCCAAGGTGCGTATATAATGTACTTACACCGCTGCTGCGTCCAGACGGTAATTCGGAATGTCACCAAAATTTAATCAGTTCTAAGTTAGTCCCTTTCTGACTTGTCCCCAAAATTTCGATGAAATCCGGCCAGCACTTTTTGAGCTACGCTGCTAACAAACAAACAAACCAACAAACCAACGCCGTCAAAAACATAACCTCCTTGGCGGAGGTAATAATAATAATTGCAATAATACAAATAAAGAAAAATAACAGTAAAAAGTATAAAAACGAGAAAAAAAAAAGTTGACAAGCGAAATGGAAGAGACTTTTTTGGATGCTTAGAGGGTTATTTACTCCGAATCTTGATATAACTTTAAAGAAAAAGAAAAAAAAAAGAAAACAGAAAACAGTAACATTGTGTTCAAACCGCCGATGGGGAATGATCAATTGTATACTCTGTGCAAAGAGTATACCTGTATCGAAACATTAAGGGACAAAGTTGTTTTTTTTTCTTTTTTCTTTTTTTGAATGAGCTTTCGTAAAGCCTGGACGCTCTTTGAAGCTGTGATAGAAGTTTGAGGTTTACGATTTCGTTTGTGTGAATTACGGCTTAGTGGTTTGGCTTCGGTAATCAATGTATCGAGTCTCATTTTGAATAAAAAGCCATTATTGATCCTAAAGAGTTGTGTGTGTGTGTGTGTGTGTGTGTGTGTGTGTGTGTGTGTGTGTGTGTGTGTGTGTGTGTGTGTGTGTGTGTGCGTGTGTGTCCGCGCGCGTGTATGTGTGTGCTAGAAACCGAAGGTAAGAACCCCATCGCAAAGTGAAACGAAACAGTTCGCGTTTCGCTCAGATGCTTCGAAACTCCCACGGTCGAAACCTTAAAAGTTATTGATCATTTAACCATCGACTCTCTTTCTTTTTTTAATGAATATGCTAGCGTTTTTCTTACATGAGAGGGGATTAATGAGTCTCTCTGTTTCGTTCATTGTATGCCCGGAGTTTTAAGCTTCCGAACCCCCCAACCAGAGGCTTAATTAGAACGAGATGATAATGGTTACCTTAGACGGGGTTGGTATTCAAGTCACGCTATTCAGGGCATGTGAGAGACCGCGGGGGTATTCAATTTTGAGAAACGTGCACATTATATAAGTCTTCTGATTTTTTTTTTTTTTTTCAAGGGAAGAGAGGGGTGGGGGATATTGATGGTTTTATTTTCAGATTTTTTTTTTCTTTTTTTTTTATTCTTATATATATATTTTTTTTATCTTGTGTGTTTGGCTCCATTTTCTCATTAGCTCATATTGGCAGCAGGTTCTTGCGGGGTCTCCCTTCCTCCCCCCTCCCCCTACTCCTCCCCTCCTCCTCCCTTGGAATATGAACTTTTTTGACTCGTCGTTTGTATTCATGGATTCTTATTCATATATTCATATTCGGTCACTGTCGTGGAGGCAGAGTAATTTTGCGAACACACACACATACGTACACACGCACACACATACACACACACACACAATACACGTACAGAGACACAGACACACACGCAACACACAATCACACACAATGAAAGAACATAAACAAAAAAAAAATAAAATAAAAAAACGCAATCAACAACAGACAAAAAACACACAACCCAACCACCCAAGAAAAAAAAACACAACCACGAAACAAAAAAACAACAACAAAAAACAACAGCCACCATCGCCGCCGACGTCAAAACATAATCATGAACGAAATGAAATATCAAACTGACTTCGAGACTGACTTTCTCTCTCTCTCTCTCTCTCTCTTTCTCTCTCTCTCTCTCTCTCCCCGAACATTTAACTGGTCGTTAAGCTAAACCGTGTAGACTGTTGTCCGCACGTGGGTTTGTGAAGAACGGCTTCGAACCTCGCCTCTTTAAGGCCAAGTTTCAACCAGGGAGAAAGAGAGGGAGGGAAGGAGAGGGAGAGGGAGGGAGGGAGGGAAGGAGAGAAAGTGAGAGAGAGAGGGGGGAAAGGAGAGAGAGAGAGAGATAAAGGGAGAAAGGGAGAGAGAGAGAAGAGGAAGAGACAAGAGGAGAGAGAGAGAGGGGGGGGAGAGGGAGAGAGATAAAGAAAGAGAGATAGAGAGAGAGAGAAAGAGACAA